ACTGGAGGAAGTACCATTATGTTGAACACATTGCCTCCGGTCTGAGAGATAGTTGGAGAACCAACTAATGGTGTGTTCTGAGAAACCAATTTCTGAGAGTTTATGACACAAGATGTTATGATCCACAGTGTCAAAAGCTTTAGACAGGTATAAGAAAAGTGCAGCACAATAATCCTTAGCATCCAGTGCTTCAACATCATTAAGAACCTTCAGTGAAGCAGTGGTTGTGCTGTGTTGTTTCCTGAAACCAGATTGATGTGGAGGTAAGATGTTAAATGAGTCCAGGTAATTTTTGATTTGAGAGTTTATCAGTTTTTCTAGAACCTTGGCTAAAATGCAGAGTTTAGAGATTGGTCGATAGTTGTTCAGTGAGGTGGGGTCACCTCCCTTCAGCAAAGGAAGAACAAAGGCTGTTTTCCAAGTGTCTGGATGGAGTTTTATCTTATGGAGAGATTGAAGATGTGGATCACAGGGACTGTGATGATATGAGCAGCCAGCCTTAAGAAATAAGGTGGAAGTTCATCTGGACCTGCAGATTTTTTAGGATCAAGATCTTTTAACAGTTTATTGACCTCACTGACTGAGAATGGAGAAAAAGAGAAGCTGTGATTAACTGAGGATTGACTTGTAGGAGGGATTTGATTAGTAGAAGTTTGATTATTAAGTGAAGTGGCTAATTTTCCATTAGTAACTGTGTCAAATAAAGAACTAGAAGCAACAAAATGTTTGAAACTGTTCAGGATCTCGTGCTAGCTTGCTAACTTCACATTTAATACAGTTAGCCAATCAGCGTTTGCCCTCTAGAAACGCCTATTCAGAAATGCACACTTTTGGTCTGCAGAGAACCCCTTCTCAATTACTTTAATGGAATGGACTGTACTTGTATAGCGCCTTTCTATCTGATAAAGATACTCCAAGCTCTTTACACTACAATCTGTGTCCTCATTTACCCATTCATACAGCACTCCACTAGATCTCTACAAAGATAATCGAACAAATCATTCTAAAAAGATTAATCAGAGCTTTATCACATTCAAACACTGATGGTACACACATCAGAGGCAATGAGGGGTTCAGTGTCTTGCCCAGGGACAGTTCGGCATGCGACTGCTGGTGGATTTGAACCCCCAACTTTTGCATTGGAGGACGACTGCTCTAACCACTCAGCCACAGCCGCCCTATTAACAACATATAAACACAGTACACAGCTGCGGCTTGGGCTGCCAGCTCTCATTGTTTTTTGTGACTGTCAATAAATCCAGTAGGCGTGTCAGCAAATGACCAATCGGCGACCTCAATTTGTTCCGAAGGTAAATGCCCCTTGTCTGTGGAGCTGCTCTGCAGCCGCTCAGGGTGGACACTCGAGTATGAAGTCTCAACCCTCTGCGGACAGTGCACACAGTTTCCGCACAGCTGACAGGACATGCAAGCATACTGGAGCCTTAAGGTGCAGTATACTGCCGCGTACGTCCATACGCAGAGGTACGCAGAGGTACGCATGTATGTACGCGGAGGTATGAGCGTACCCCCTGTGGCATGTCCGTGCAAAGCTCAAATTTTTATGACCGCATACGCGTACGCGGTGTCGCACAATAAACTGCCCAGCGACGGACTGTTTTGTATGCGATACCAATGTATAAATTTCCCTTCTTCATCTCTGATCTGGATTTTTCTTTTGTTTTTTTGCCAAGAGGCAGTGATCTCTTCCTCCTCCATTGATGCCATGACTGAAATGGTGAGAAATGAAGGAATTTGTCACGAGCGAATTAAACCCAGGTCCAGCGTGGCTGCAGGAGGGTCTGGAGATTTCCTGGTGGGCTAGTCTGATGTGTGGACTGCAGGACCAGCGCTCCCTGGTTTTTTGCCATTTTTTAGAACTTTTTATTAACAACATATAAACACAAAACACCACTGTGGCTGAGGCTGCCAGCGCTCGCTTTTTTTTTTGACCTGTCAATCAATCCAGTAGGCGTGTCAGCAAATGACCAATCGGCAACCTCAATTTGTCCTGAAGGTAAACGCCCCTTCTCTGTGAAGCTGCTCTGCAGCTGTTCGGGGTGTACGCTGGAGTACAAAGTCTGAACCCTCTGCGTACAGTACATGCTTGCGTACGCGTGAACGGACGTACGCGGCAGTATACTGGAGCCTTTAAGGTGCAGAAGATTCAGAGCTGATAGATGTTAAGTGTTTGTCCTTTCATGGCCATAAAAAAGCATTTGGACTGGTTGCCTTGTGAGGGTTAATCCTCCTGAAAGTACTCCTTACTTCTGCTGAGTTCACGCAGAGAAGCTCTTCATCCGGTGGTGAAGTGAGGCTGGTTCTGGGTGGTCTGTTCGGGTATTCAAAGCTTGCGTAGAACTTGTTGAGGGCATCAGGCAGTGATGGGTCTTTAGTAGGGGTGTAACGGTACACGTGGGTGTACCGAACCGTTTCGGTACGACACGTTTGGTTCGGTCCACGTGCGTACTGTTTCCGTTATTTTTACACTCATTAAATTTTATTAATGAGAGATTATGCGCCGCGTAACTAAACTTCCTAAGCGTGTTTCAACATGGTGCTATTATCTCGCAGCACGCATAGCATTAGCAGCCCTGCATGTCGTTGCGGTCTCCTGTTTGGGAACATTATGGATTTCTTGTTGAGACAAGTGAACAAATCCAAAGCTGTGTGTCGATGTTGTTTCACGGAGAGTGGATCTGCAGCAGCAACACGTCTAACTTGTTAACACTCTTGAAACGACATCATCCGAACGTGAACGTCTCTTCTAGCAGCTTGTTGCAAAGAGCGATAACAGCAGCATTTAAACAACATTTATCAGGTCATTCAGATCAGTCCAGAGCAATAACACAAGAAGTAGGAGTTTTTAAAGTTTGGATCTACGTTTCTGTTGTTGATGTGCCGGCTTTAAAGTTCTTGAGCCTCGCTACGACATCACATCACGTCAACACTTCAGCCAAAAAGTTGTAGCAGCACTTTATGAAAAAGATAAAACTGATCGTCAACAAGCCCTGGACCAGATTAAAGCCCTGCCCTGATGATGATGATGATGACTGAGAGATTCAACCACCTCTTAACAACCGTTCAAGAAGAGGTATTGTTCTTTTATTATTATCTAATTAACTTTTTTTATTTAAAATTATAATCTTAAGTCTTTTTTTTAAACCTTTTGTTTTTTATTTCCAGTCTGGGACAGAGACAGCAGCTGAGTCTTCCTCTTCAGAGAAATCCACCAGAGATCACCTCTAGCTAAAAAGTCTGTGATGAGTGAACTCTGAACTTTTCCAGGGACCTGTCCCACCTGTGGGAGCAGGTCCAAGAGGTTGAGATTTTCATTATTGTTAGTATAATTTATTTATTGTAAAGAGTGCCGTTTATTTAAAATATCATCCAAATGGGTCGCTTTTATTTATTTATTTATTGTTTACTTGGCATATTTTCAAAATAAACATTTTGTAAGTCTTCATTTTGGTCTTTTTTTGTACTGAAAATTAACCAAACCGAGCCCTTCTTGAAATTCAACTGAACCGAAATGTGATTTTAGTGTACCGTTACACCCCTAGTCTTCAGGGCATTGTTCGCTTCTGCCTTTATAATCTGTTATACACTTAATGCCCCTCCACATGCTCCGTGGGTCTTGTGAGGTGAATTGACCCTTGATTCTCTGTGCATATGTAGCCATGGCCCTCTTAATACCAGCAACCAGCTCTTTCCTTGTCCTTCTCAGCTCCTGTGAGTTTCCAGACCTGAAGGCAGTGTTCCTGGCTTCCAGCAGGGTGCGCACCTCTGCATTCAGCCAAGGTTTTCTGTTCGGTAGCCCTTAACATATCTGATGGTGGTGACGTCATCAGTACATTTACCAATGTACCCCAGGACTGAAGATGCGTATTGGTCCAAGTCTAGCACTCCTCCATTTTCAGCAACTTGTCTGAAGACCTCCCAGTCTGTTTTTTCAAAACAATGTCTCAGTATGGGGCCACTGTTCTGGATCCAAGATTTAACTTTCATAACAGTATAATAATAACAGCATTTTAAGAGGGGGACAGTTGAACACAGAGACCCCTGCCCCGTTTGATGAATGATTTCTTTTGACAAAGATGGCTTTCTTCACTCCTCTCAAACCAGCGTTCCTCTCCATCAAGAATGTGAACATCTTCATCCATGAAAGCTTGACTGCTGGCCTGGAGATGAGTGTAAACTGCACAGTCCTGGCCTGATTTGCAAGATCTTAGACTGAAGAAGTATTTTGGGTAAAAGACGAAACGTTTCAACAAACAACAATCTGTCCAGAGGACCTGACTGAACATTGTTAGTTATACTGTATGACTTTCCTGAAAAAAAAAGTTATAAATGAAAGCTTTGTGTTACATCTGCAGTGTTTCCCCTAGATAACTTGCCATGGCGGGGCGCTCATCTCGTCTGTGATTTTTGTCGGGGGGAGGGGCGGGGAAGATGGATGGAGACACGTTCAAAGCTGCGCAGCGCACTCCTTAAACCAACAGTTTTACATTTTTATAGCAGGGTGTGTGAGAGGAGAGACTGAGACACATCTCAGCCGCGCGCTGTCTGAACCGACAGGGTTTTTTTTGGGGGGGGGGGGGTCAGGGGGAGGAGAGACGGACACACGTCTGAGCCGTGCGCTGTTTGTACCAACAGTTTTCGAGTGGTGGTGGTGCGTTCAGCGTGAGAATTCAGCATGAGGGAAGAGGCTGCCTTTAGCTTTTTAGCTAGTGCACCTGCATTGCGAGCCGCTAGTTTAGCGTTACGTCAGTGCTGACAGGTGGTTTGGGGTGGGGGGGTTGGGGTTCAGTAGACGGGGCGCTCGGTTCTGTTGACGGGGCGGGCGCCCCGCTTGTATAATGGTAGGGGAAACGCTGATCTGTAAAGTTGTTTTTTTCCACTGCAGATTAAATTGTGTTCAGAGAGTAGCAACTTTTTTTTTTTTAATCCAGGGGTTTGTGCATATGTCCCATTACAACATATTTTCTTTTTTTATTGTACAGGAGCTACCTCTGAGATCAAGGATGGCGTCAGACGTGGTTACCCAAAACCATGGTTCTAAGGCGATCATGACATTTTACCCAACTGCAGAGGAGTTCAAGGATTTCAATCGTTATGTTGCTTATATGGAGTCCAAGGGAGCACATAAAGCAGGCTTGGCTAAAGTAAATATCAACCTGTTCATGTTTAAGAGGTCAAACTAAGGCAATGTCTTCTAATGCTCATGAATATGTTATTACCACATTGCTAACATGTACTGACTTATCAGGAAAATGTTTGTTATAACCCTGCTTTAATGGAAAGTTATTTCAAAAACCATTACAAAGTCAAACATTTTCACTGGCTTTTGATTTTCTCTTAAGATTGTTCCCCCAAAAGGATGGAAGCCTCGAGGTTCCTATGACGACATTGATGATTTGGTGATTCCAGCTCCTATTCAGCAGGTGGTGTCTGGCCAGTCGGGTCTTTTCACTCAATACAACATACAGAAGAAGTCCATGACGGTCAGAGAGTTTCGCAGGATTGCCAACAGTTACAAGTAAGAAGTGCATTTTTGCAAAACTGTTAAGTGCATGTAAAATTTTTAAAGATTAAAAAAAATTGGTATTAATAATAGATTTGATTTTTTTTCTCAGGTTCTATAGACCGCATTATGATGATTTTGAGGAGCTGGAAAGGAAATACTGGAAAAATGTAACATTTAATCCCCCAATATATGGAGCAGATGTTAATGGAAGCTTGTATGACCCTGTGAGTTAACACTGATGTTGTTGATCATTTATGAGTATCCACAGATTTTCTTGTAATCTTTTTAAAATTGTGCTGTTTCAAAGGACATTGAAACATCCATGTTTACTGCAAACCATATTAAGGATGCCTGATACTGATAACAGTATCATTTATTTGTTCCGATACTGTGTACATGTGCATATACTTATACTTGAAAAAGTGTTTTGATACTATTTTTTATGGCAGCCTGACATTCACATCTTAGTTGAGTCAGTCGGTAGAAGGATGAGCAATGTATGTGTGGAGATATTTCAAAGTGATTAATGGTTACAAAACTAAAGCAAACTACAAATTCTGCTCAGCAGAATTGACAAATGGAATAAAATCTAGTACTTTAAACACAAGCAATTTGATAAAAGATCTAAAAAAAACAACACGACACCAAGTTCAAACTCTTCAAACAAAGCAGGAGAAAAAAAATCTGCTTTGGTAAGATCTATAAAAGTTAAGTCAGGTCCTTTGGATGGGTTAAAAAAAAAACATTTTAGAAACGTTTCGTCTTTAATCTGAAAGACTTCCTCAGTCTGAGGTGCTGTTTTCAGCTCAGTCTTATAAATAGCACCTTCTCAGAGTGGATCAACCAGTTTTGCTGCTGACAACCAAAACCAGCTGCTCACATGATCAAGAAGGACCATCAGCCTAACAATGGATCATTAGCGCACTGATGGCTGTTTACTGTTCACAGAGGGCTGAGTGATACTAGCAATCACAGCATTGTAAGAGGGGGACAGTTGAACCCGGAGGCCTCCACCCCTTTTTAATGATGGACGGTTTCTTTTCACAAAGATGGCCTCCTTTACTCCTCTCTCAAACCATCGTTCCTCTCTGTCCAGGATGTGAACATCTTCATCCCTGAAAGAGTGACCGCTGGCCTGGAGATGAGTGTAGACCGCAGAATCCTGGCCTGATGATGTTGATCTTCTGTGCTGGGCCATCCTTTTGGCCAGTGGCTGTTTAGTTTCCCCGATGTAAGACTGATCACCCTCCTGACACTGAACAGCATACACAATATTACTCTGTTTGTGCCGGGGGACTGGATCTTTGGGATGAACCAGTCTTTGCCGTAATGTATTTTGGGGTTTAAAAGCCACTGGGACGTTATGTTTAGAAAATAAACGTCTCAGTTTCTCTGATACTCCCTCAACATATGGAATGACCACTGGTCTGGGTTCCTCCTTTTCACCTGATGGCTGACTGGAGTCCTGTTTGGGTTTCTTGTCTGCTTTCAGGAAGGCCCAGTTAGGATATCCACATTGCTCTAGAGCCTGTCTTGTGTGGGATTTCTCCTTCTGCCTGGCTCCTGAGTACAGAGCTCCTGAGGCAGAAGGAGAAATCCCACACAAGACAGGCTCTAGACAAGAGCAATGCGGATATTTGGAGGCCTCCAGGTTCAACTGTCCCCCTCTTACAATGCTGTTATTGCTACTATCACTCAGCCCCCTGTGAATAGCAAGTGACCATCGGAGCGCTAACGATCGGCCGTTAGGCTGATGGTCCTCCTTTATCATGAACAGCTAGTTTTGAATGTCAACAACAAACTGATCCACTCTGAGAAGGTGCTATTTATAAGACTGAGCTGAATACAGCACCTCAGACTGAAAAAGTCTTTCAGATGAAAGACGAAATGTTTCTACAATTTTTTTTTGTTCGTTTTTTTGCACCCGTCCAGATGACCTGACTTGACGTTTTTAGATTTTTCTTCCTGGATTATTGAGCATGCGTCAGGATGCTTTAAGGGTGCATTCACACCAGCCCTGTTTAGTCCGCTTTAATCGAACTCTAGCTCGTTTTCCTAGAAAGTCCGGTTCGTTTAGGGAGGTGTGAACGCGCCATCGAACTCTGTCACGGAACAAAAAGGCGAACTCTGGCCCGGGCTAAAACCTAGGTCTCGGTCCAGTAGAAGCGAACTCCAGAGCGGTTCGAGTACAGTGTGAATGTAAACAGACCGGGCCCCGCTCTGCAGGGTAAACAAACACGCATTTCTCTGACCTTATATGGAGCCGTCAGCTGCCTTGTGTGGAAAAACAATATTCTTCATGGTCTTCTGTCTCATCTTCTGCTCATGCTAAGTCCATTTTTGAAAAATGACAAAATATAACTCCTAAAACTGCTAAAACTTGATGCCACTTCGTTTTTGTTTTTATTTACAGAAGAAGAAGATGATGTGTCTTCAGAGGTTTTTGTGTTGTTTCTTTCAGTAGTTCTTGGTGCAGCGCCCCCACAGGCGAGCGGGGGAACAGGTTGGTTCAACAGGTTGACTCGACTGCACAGTGCAGTGTGAATGCAAACGCACCAGCTCAAATGTAAACAAAAGCTCATGAATATTGGTCCCGAACCGAACCGAGTCTACCGGACTATCTAGTGTGAAAACAACCTAAGAGTGTAGTTTGTTGGGATGGGAGATGTGCTCATGTATATTATTCTCTGTTCTGCTCAGGGACTCTAGCTGTTTCCTGCTGCTGTTGGCAAGCCCTAAAACTCGCATCCTGTTGTTTTTGTTTAGATTGTTCATCAAATTGTTTGTGTTAAGGTGCTACACTTTGTCCTTTCTCTTGACAGTGTTGCTGTGAATAATTTGCAGTCTCCTTTACTTTTGTCACTATCATTTATTTTGAAACACCTCCACATGGCTGACATCTTCTACCACCTGACCTTGAACCTGACTGCTCAGCTGAGAGCGGAACATTAAGTTGCCCTAAAATAGTATCAGGTGGTATCTGAACACTTTTTAGAGTTTAGACAAGGTATTGGAATCAATGCCCGATAATGTTATTGGTGGTTTGTAAGATTTCTTGGTGATTTTGTTTTGCTGTACTTTGGCAGGACATCAAAGAATGGAATATTTGCCACCTGGGCACCATTTTGGATACTGTGGAACGTGACAGTGGCATCACTATTGAGGGTGTTAATACACCTTACTTGTATTTTGGTATGTGGAAGACCACGTTTGCATGGCACACTGAGGACATGGACCTCTACAGCATCAATTACTTACATTTTGGAGAGCCCAAATCATGGTAAGCATGCATACATGAACAGTGACATGTAGTCACCAGAAAATGCTGAGAAATTGTGCTCAAGTTGCATAAACTATTTTTGCATAAATCTTAGACACTATCACTCCATTAATCATTGTGTTTGAAACTCATTAACACCAGAAACTTGAAGGTAACTACATGAACTCCTGAAGAGAGGTGAAAATGTTTTTAAAAATTCTGAACAGTTTAACATTTCCACTCTTTTGTTGAACAAACCTGACCTGCAAATAAAAAACAATCAAACTGGAAAATGTTTGTTTAACCAAGTTCTGATGTCCATTTTGGCATATTACCTCAAAGTTTCTTCTTCACCTTCTTCTTGTGATATCATTAGCGGTTAGAAATAAAGCAACATTTCATCTAGATTTCCTTACTTTGGCATTGGGTTCGGTTACACCAAGCAGAAAAGAATTTCGTTCACTGGTATTTTATAGTGTACAATATTCCACATTATATGTAATACTGTGGATCCCCAGTCACTGCATATCACGTGGTGTCTCTGGGCAGCACAACTCATCCCCAAAATGCCCCCCGGCGCTTTCAATAGCTGCCCACTGCACCACCTGGTGGTGGATGGGTTAAATGCAGAGACTAATTTTGCCATTGTATGGAAACATACAGTGCTGACATTGTGATGATATTATTATTATTATTATTTATTATTATTATTATTATTATTATTATTATTATTATTATTATTATTATTATTATTATTATTATTATTAATAAACATGAGGCACGAATGACCGGTGCCTTAGGATGGCACTGATTACATAAGCTCAGATCATACCAGATGTTTCAGTAAAGTCATCATTTATGTTCGTATTGTTCAAAATATGAGATCCTGAATCCAATATTTAAATAATTACATGAGTAAAGTATAGTATATCTCACAGAGAAACCCAGTGTTTTATAAAATAAATTTGTGCATACAAACCTTCATTATAGATGGTTACTGTGTTCTCTGTGCATGTAGTTTGAAAAATAATTCATACGAAACATTTTGAGATGTGGACTTTGTTAGAGATTATTTTTATGTTTTTATGGTTTAGTTCTACGGTTCCTTTTAGTTGATGGCAAAGAGCTGTGTTCACCCTGCAATATTTAAGAGTTTGCATCCATTTTTTTATGGCGTTTGATGTAGTCAACCATATTTAGGGGTCTAGCTCAGCCAAACAGACTAAGAACTGCTGTTTTCAGCTCTCTTGGTGTGCACATACTTTTTGTCCCTGGTCAAAACTACAGCCCTAAAGTTTGTTCTGTTTAAGCTGCTGTAGTAAAATGATGACACAAGTTGGAGGATGGGCAAATAAGAAATTTTATGCCCCTGATATTAGAGTTTTTAATTTAATGAAACTGCAATGATTGCCATTTTTTATTGAAGTTGATAAAATCATAATTATGAATATTTTGTTAATCTTCTTTCAGCTTTTCCCTCTTCAGGGGTCTCCACAGCAAGTCATCCTCCTCCATCTCTGTCCTCACTCCAACTACCGTATTGTCTGTCGAAAACATTGCTCCACTCTAAAAGTTGCATTAGTCCAAATATGTATAATAAAGTGGGAAAATCCATAAATATGTCGCTTCACCATATAAGTCGCATCTATTATGCGTCACCGCTGACGCGGCACATTTGTTACGTGTCAACGCTGACAACTCAGAAATGTGGGCCGGTATTGTGCCAATGTGACTGTGGAATGAGTTGCCACTGAGTGTCCGGCAGGCTCCCACACTCTGTCTTTAAGTCTCGCTTGAAGACCCACTTCTATTCTCTTGCCTTTAACACGGTGTGATTTGTTTTGGTCCGGTCTGTTCTCTACTCTGTTGGTCATTTTAGTTTAGCTTCTGCTGCTATTTGTATCTGTATTTTTATTTTATGTTTTCCTGTCCGCTGTGCATGTTTGTTTTCTTTTGTACAGCACTTTGGTTGGCCTTGTGGCTGTTTTAAGTGCTCTATAAATAAATTGGTATGGTATGGTAAAAATTGATTGGCTGCCAAATGGCTAGCTGGATGTACTGTAGGTGGCAGGCTGTGGCAAGCCGATTGTGTCAGTAATGGCCACTTTAACCCATTTCATTGGGCGGCTGTGGCTGAGTGGTTAGAGCAGTCGTCCTCCAATGCGAGAGCTGGGGGTTTGAATCCACCAGCAGTCACATGCTGAAGTGTCCCTGGGCAAGACACTGAACCCCTCATTGCCTCTAAAGTGTGTCCCATCGGTGAATGAATGTGATCTAAAGCACTGATTAGTCTCATTAGAATGATTTGTTCAATTAGCTTTGTAGAGATCTAGTAGAGTGCTGTATGAATGGGTAAATGAGGCACAGATTGTAAAGCACTTTGAGTGTCTTGAAATACGAAAGAAAGGCGCTATATAAGTACAGTCCATTTACCAGTTCATTTACAACAGCATGCCATACATCTCTGGCGCCATCTAGCAGCTGAAAATGGTAGTGTTCAACATTTCAGTCAGAATGAATGAAAACAGTCATCTCTCAGCCAAAAATTGGTTTTTAAATATGGGAAAAAAAATCCATAAATATGTTGCTTTGTCATATAAGTCGCAGGACATATAAATTATGCACACAAAAAAACGCGATTTGTAGGGTGAAAAATACAGTACCTCCATGTCCTCTCTTAACTGCACATTTTGTCAATATATTGCCCTGGATATTACTCTCTGCTACTTATATTTAATTTAATGTTTATATTAGCAGGAGGTTTCTTGAAATCAACATATTTTTAAAAAATTGCTTTTCATTGTTGCTTGAAGACTTACTTTCAATTCTAAAGGATGTGGGTTTTGACATAAATATTTTTATACCAGTAGCCAAAAATGATTCTTACTGAGCAAGATGAGCCTTAATGAGAGCATTTTAAATCCTTGCAAAAACATTTCTAGTAAGACAAAAAAAAAGAGAGAAATATTGAATTAACCTGATAAATCACGTAAAAAGGAAAAAAAAAAAACACAGCCCATTTAAAGTTTGGCTATTTTTTCTTACTGAAAATACCGAAGCAAAAAAAAAAAATGCAATCTCATCTTTTCTTGTTTGGGTGTCTGCAGGTATTGTGTCTCCCCTGAGCATGGAAAGAGACTGGAGCGTCTGGCTAAAGGTAGGATAATAATTGTTTTGTCCGAAGCACTGACTTCAGCCCCAAACATGGTGCTGCTGTAGCACGCATGTTTTACTGCATGTTAGTAAAGAACTGCTCACATCAGCAGATGGGGTTCAAGTTATGGAGACCAAGCAAATGAACTAAAATGTTGGATGCACCATATTTACAGTGGGGCAAAAAAGTATTTAGTCAGCCACTGATTGTGCAAGTTCTCCTACGTAGAAAGATGAGAGAGGTCTGTCATTTTCATCATAGGTTCACTTCAACTATGAGACAAAATGAGGGGAAAAAATCCAGGAAATCACATTGTAGGATTTTTAAAGAATTTATTTGTAAATTATGGTGGAAAGTAAGTATTTGGTCAATAATAAACAAGCAAGATTTCTGTCTCTCTCAGACCTGTAACTTCTTCAAGAAGCTCTTCTGTCCTCCACTTGTTACCTGTATTAATGGACCTGTTTGACCTCGCTGTCTGTATAAAAGACACCTGTCCACAGCCTCAAACAGTCAGACTCCAAGCTCAACCATGGCCAAGACCAAAGAGCTGTCAAAAGACACCAGGAAGAAAACTGTAGACCTGCACCAGGCTGGGAAGAGTGAATCTACAATAGGCAGCAGGTTGGTGTGAATAAATCAACTGTGGGAGCAATTGTAAGAAAATGGAAGACGTACAAGACCATTGATAACCTCCCTGGATCTGGGGCCACACGCAAGATCTCATCCTGTGAGGTCAAAATGATCATGAGAACGGTGCATAAAAATCCCAGAACTTGATGCATGACCTGCAGAGAGCTGGAACCAAAGTAACAAAGGTACCATCAGTAACATACTACGCTGAGAGGGACTCAAATCCTTCAGTGCCAGGCGTGTCCCCCTGCTGAAACCAGTACATGTCCAGGCCCGTCTGAAGTTTGCCAGCGATGGATGATCCAGAAGAGGATTGGAAGAACATGTTGTGGTCAGATGAAACCAAAATAGAACTTTTTGGTAAAAACTCAACTCGTCATGTTTGGAGGAAGAAGAATGCTGAGTTGCATCTCAAGAACACCATACCTACTGTGAAGCATGGAGGTGGAAGCATCATGCTTTGGGGCTGTTTTTGTTCAAAGGGGACAGGACGACTGATCCGTGTAAAGGGAAGAATGAACGGGGCCATGTATCGTGAGATTTTAAGCGAAAACCATCAATGAGAGCATCGAAGATGGAACGTGGCTGGGTCTTCCAGCATGACAATGATCCCAAACACACCGCTCGGGCAACGAAGGAGTGGCTCCATAAAATGCATTTCAAAGCCTTGGAGTGGCCTAGCCAGTCTCCAGAACTCAACCCCATAGAAAATTTGTGGAGGGAGTTGAATGTCCGTGTTGCCCAGCGACAGCCCCAAAACGTCACTGCTCTAGAGGAGATCTGCACAGAGGAATGGGCCAAAATAGCAGCTACAGTCTGTGCAAACTTGGTATAGACTTACAGGAAACTTGCACAATCAGAGTTTGACTAAATACTTTTTTGCCCCACTGTAAAGGTTTTAGTTTAGTTCATAGTGTTGTCATTTAAACTCAACGGTAATTAAAACTAGAAAGTTCCTGGAGAAACTTTAACGGGGACTGCCTATTTATTATCACATTATTATTAATAATTAATATTAATAATTAATATTAATAATTAATTATTAACATGTTGTCAATTTATTAATTATTAAAAACTTAATATATTTGATAATTATATTATTAATAATTAATATTAAATCTCTAGATTAATATTAGTAATTGTTAATGTTATTGGTTGTAATTATTAAAACAAATAATTAATAATTTATGTTAATTATTTTTAATAATTAATAATAATAGGTGATATTAGGTGCCTTCCGTGAATGTTGAACCAAAATGGCTCCCAACGTTACTCAGTTTCTTTGAAAAGTTTTCTCCTATTAATTTCCAATAGGAAATTTGTCATTTTCGTTAGCAAAATATGTCGCCATGGTAACTGCGAATGCCAATAAAAGTAACTGCATACATCTCGGAGCCGGGCCGGTCATTTTGATATAACTTTTGTGGGGGTCCACGTTGTGGTTCGTGCCACATTAAAGTTGAAAAAGATACTCTTTTCAGGTGTAGAATAATAAGTGAGCAGTCACCAACTAGTTCCTGGAGTTGTTGAAATATTGCGTCTTTGTTCACAAATTACGTCGCCATGGTAACTCGAAATGCCAATAAAAGTAATGGCACACATCAAGGGGACGAGTCGGTCGTTTTGATATAACTTTTGTGGGGGTAGACGCTGTGGTTCGGGCCGCATTAACGGAGATGGAAATGTAGACTCACTTCCCAGGTGTAGAATAATAGGTGCCAGCCATGCATTTGCATGGCAGTCCTCAAAAATAATAAAACTGAGCTTAAACTGATTGTGAAGTCAAAGCCCCACTGGAGGAACACAAACTTTCATTTTCCGACCGGTATTTGTTTTTATGTTGCATCACGTAAATGCTGGTCAGTGCACCACATAAACCACATGCACTATTAAGTGCTAGTACATTCTGAGTACATTCTTAGTTTAGTATATTTCTTAGTTCATATCTTCAATTTTATTACTGTTTTCCTTTTACAATTTCTACTTTAGTTGGCTGTAACTGGGACCCTGTGTACACAATTTCGTTCCATCACGTACCACATGCGATGCGAATGACAAAGAACCTTGACCTTGATAGAAGTGCCTTTACATGAACCGTTATCCACCGTGTTTCTAAACTGTTTGCACTTTCATTTGAAATTGTTGGCTGTTTTAATTTCAGCAGGCAGCATTTATAGGTCCTGGTTGAAAAGTGGTGTGGTGGGGGGTGGGGATGTCAGTTTGGTAGGCGAGGTGCTCAATTCGGTTGACGGGGTGGGGCACCCCGCTTGTATAATGGTAGGGGAAACACTGCATTTGTGCATGTTGTGAGCATGATAACTTGTATAAGTGAGGTATGGACTTCCATTTTTAAGTGTGGCTACATGTAGGTGTAGGAAAAGTTTTGTTTTGAAAATTGGGATGCCATGTCAAAATCCAAGATCGCAAATATAACCGTCACTATTCATATCCCTCAGCAACAGGGAACATCTGTGTACCGCTTGTTGTATTACAGAGCTCATTCATAAATACTTTGTGTTTATACATGAGATTGACAATTGACCTGTGTAGATTATGTGCCAATCTACACTGCGGTCAACCACACAAGTTTGTATTGCACCAAAATGAAGTTGAATGATTGAAAAACAAAGTGTAAGTTGTGGAACGGTGTAGCTCTGTGATGGGCTCACTTGTTCGCAGGGGTTGAATGAGTATATAATTTTTTAACTCGACATTAACATAATAAAACCCGAGTAGAACTCGAGTATTTGATGACGTCATAGATCTCAAGATACAAAAATAAATAAATTAATTAAACTGCAAAAAAAGGTAATTATTTACCAAAAAAAAAGACCAACAAAACATTGGGAGCGTATATTATGCTCCTACCATTTATCAGCACGTCAAAAACGAAACTTAAACTGAAACTGGTTCTGGTGGATTGGACCCGGTGTTACACCATACTCTGTGACCTGCAACAGTGCAACACCGCCCCCTACAGTCATACGGTGGTCACATAATTTGACATCACTACGGATACCCGACTTTACTTTTTTAACATCGATAGATGTCCTAGCAATCGATGTGTAAATTACTCGAGTACTCTGTTAATGCCCTACTTGTTCGTTGCTTGAATCATCTTTAAACCAGCTCGAGCACCAGCCCTGATCTACCTCTGGGTTCACGGTGGCAGATAAAAGGAGCAGATGATCTCGTTGTTCAGGCTACATTTAGAGGTGGTGGATTGTTGTTTTTAACTTGTGCTCTCTTTTTTTTTTTTTTCAGGGTTTTTTCCCAGTAGTTCTCAAAACTGTGAGGCTTTTTTAAGACACAAGATGACTCTCATCTCTCCTTCAGTACTGAAGAAATATGGCATTCCATTTGAGAAGGTATTTGTTGTTCAATTAGAGGATCTCTTTATTTAATTGTATAACAAATTAAAAAGGATTCAACTGAATTTACTAATCATTATATGACTTCTCTTTAGATTACGCAGGAAGCTGGTGAGTTCATGATTACCTTCCCCTACTCCTATCATGCTGGTTTCAACCATGGTTTCAATTGTGCCGAGTCTACAAACTTTGCTACAGAGAGGTGGATCGACTACGGCAAGCAAGCCGTTTTGGTGAGGACCAGAAGGGACGGCGTAGGACAAATTGTATAGTTGAAGCTGAACATTTAGTTAATTGAACCAAATCACTACAAAACTTCTGTTTGTGCCTTTTTCTCTCATCAGTGCTCGTGTCGTAAAGACATGGTGAAGATTTCAATGGATGTATTTGTTAGAAAATTCCAACCGGATCGCTACAAAAAGTGGCTAGCAGGGCGAGATTCAGTTCCCATCGACCACTCACTGCCCACTCCAGAGGCCAGGGAATTTTTGGGCAACACCTTTCCCAGCAGCACTAGCTCCACCGAGACCTGTGGCGAGGGTGGAGATCACAAAAGGTCTGTCACTTTAATTTTAAATTGTTTTTGTTTTTCTATATGGCTTACAGACCAGAGCAAGATGGCCGCGCTCAGAGCAGTTGCAGCTTCACAGGCTCCCGGTACCATCCCAGTTTTTAGAAGTTTTGATATTGACTCTGTGCCTGACTCTGCGCGATTTATGCGTGTGAACTATAGCCGAACCGAACTGATGAGAATAGGAGCGGATTTGCCACGAAATATAGCAGAAATCAGCAACAAACTCAAAGCTACGCTCGGCAGAATGCAGATCTTAAAGTCATCTACCTGGAAGCTGCAGCAGAGGCGTTCCAGCGGGCAGAAGAGGAAGCGCTGCTCCCGGCTTAAGAGGAGAGGATGCCGGGCGGGGGTTATGGTGAGGCTACGAGCTAACGCTAAAGCCGGTAAACTCCCCATGCCGTCTCTCTTTCTGTCGAATGTCCGCTCGTTGGACAACAAGGTGGATTTACTTCGTCTGAGAGCGGGCGCCTCAGAAGAGATGAAGAAGTGTGCGGTGCTTTGCCTCACAGAAACGTGGATTACAAGTGAAACGCCGGACTCAGTCTTCCAGCTGGATGACAGACTTTTTTTTCGAGCGGACCGCTGCAGCGAGCTAACGGGGAAATCACGGGGGGGCGGAGTGTGCATTTACGTGAGTAAAAGTTGGTGCACGAACTGTACTGTTGTAAATAGCTCATGCTCGAAGGCTTTGGAGCAAATAACAGTGAAATGTCGGCCACATTATCTACCCCGAGAGTTCACAGTGACTTTTATCACAGTTGTTTACATTCCTCCGGACGCTAATGCTAATGAATCACTACAGGAGCT